AATGACTACTTCCTTGCTATTTCTGAAGCACTAAATATTAGCCCTTAAAAAAGCAAAACCAAAGCAAAACACTTTGTTGGTGCCTTTCTGCTGCCAGTGCCCTAAGTACATGCTTAATCTGCCTGTTGGGTAATCTGGCCTCGCCTGCCCCCTCCCTGGTGCCAGAGAGGACAGAGGCCTGGCGCGCACTACCAGGGCATTGGGCCACTCTGCCCAGAGCCTTCCCCAGGGGGAGAGGGAAGCCCTGAGCCAATCAGCCCGGCTCGGGAGGCGGCGTCAGCGAAGCCCAGAAGGTCCGGCTGCCGCTTCCGCCCTGTCACAGGACACCTCTCCTCCCCAGCAGAGCCGCAGCGCCAGCCCGGGCCTCCTTCCAGTCCTCCAGCTGGCTGAGGACGGCTGGCTTGTGGGTCCCGGCCCGCTGCCCTTCACCCGCACCTGCTGGGCTGGTCTCTCCTGCCCAGCCGAGCACTGCCCGCTGGGGGAGGGGAGCCAGCCAGCGCCGGGACTTCTTCCGCAAACTGGCTTTTCCAGATCCTGCTTGTAAACTCTGGTTAAAAATAAAACCCACGTGTCTGAGACAGAGAGGGTAGGAGGGTGCTGCGGTGGGGGACAGAGAGGGCAGGCACAGGGCTGGGGATAGGCAGGAAGGAACAGGCCCCCTCAGCAGGCACAACGGTGGAGTATCCCAGAGAAAGGCTGATGGAAGAGCGTGCTGGATAATTCCAGGCGGGAGGCACCTTCCAGAACACTTCATTTTGCAGAGAGAACACAGGCCGAGAAAGGGGCAGTGGTATCCACAAGGCGGCCGGGGAGCAAGTGCAGGTGGAGTGGAGCCTCGGCCTTGCTCTCGCTCCTGCCTTTTCCCTGTGTGGGGCACGAGCACAGCCTCCCTCCTCTCCCCTGCCAGGGATCCCCTGCTCCTCCCTGGGAGCACCCCGCCTCCCCCACCATGTCACCGCACCCTACCACCCCTGCCCGCCTGGCCCCTGCCTGTTCTCTTCTCAGCTGTCTTCTCCCCCAGCACCCATCCGGCTGGTCTCCCTGCCTCCTCTCCAAGGTATGGATGTTTACTGAGTGTCCAGCTTGGTGTCTATTATGTCATTTATTCCTCTTGCTAATAAACCAAAGCCAGGAGGCTCGATGTTTTCTAAAAGAAATGTCACATTGCAGGAAGAGAAGGGAAGGAGTTTGTGTGTACCGAGCACTGGACACATGCAGCGGACTCCCCTATGCGATTGCCAGGCCGCAGAACAGCCCTGCAAAGCACTACAGATGCTTCCATCCCTCCAGAGAGCAGACCGTGAGGTGAGAGCCTTAAGGAACTGGCGCAATGCTCAGTCCAGCTGACCTAGGGCTGACGCCTCGGTCTTCCACCTGATCCCCTGATCCTGCACAACACAAGCCCCGAGACTGAGTGCTAACTATAAGGCACCCTGCAATGAGCGTTGTCTGGGCACCATCTCATTCCATCCTCACTAGCGCCCCACTTTTCACAGAGGAAGGAACTGAGGCACAGGGTGACTAAGGGACTATGTCCCTCAACCAGGAGGAAGTCGAGCTGGGATTTGAACCCAGGGCTTTCTGCTGCAGCCCATGCTCTTCATCATGGCCCAGTCTGAACACACCCTCCCACCCCATCTGCAAGGCCCAATACAACCATCCATCTTTTCTGTTCAGCCCCCTCATCCTTTGGCCTGCAGTCTCGGGCAGTGTGTTTCAGGGTCTCTCTCTGTTACCTGGGCTAGAGTGCTGTGGCATCATCATAGCTCACTGCAACCTCCACTCCTGGGCTCAAGCAATCCTTCTGCCTCAGCCTCCCGAGTAGCTGGAACTACAGGCATGCACCACCACATCCCCCTAATTTTTCTATTTTTAGTAGAGATAGTGTCTCACTCTTGCTCAGGTTCGTCTAGAACTCCTGAGCTCCAGCGATCGTCCCGCCTCAGCCTCCCAGAGTGCAAGGCTTACAGGCATGAGCCACCACAGCCGGCCTCTTGGTGGTTTAAAGTTGTTTGCTTTCTTCCTAAGCAAGTGCTCCCCCAGAACATGGTGTGAAATGCAGAGATGAGGTGTTTTAGAAGGAGTTTGTTTCGGCTTTGGCATTGGACAGAAGGGGGTTCAAATTTCTTCTGTATAGTGACCTTGGGTGAGTCACACTAAACCTTGAATTTCTTTTCTGTCAAGTAGGAAGACTAGTGCCTCCTCCAAAGCATTGATAAAGGAAGGCCAGGCATGGTGGCTCAGGCCTATAATCCCAGCACTCTGGGAGGACAAGGCATGAGGATCCCTTGAGGTCAGGAGTTTGAGACCAGCCTAAGCAAGAGCGAGACCTCGTCTCTACTAAAAATAGAAAAATTAGCCATGCAGTGGCACACACCTGTAGTCCCAGCTACTCAGGAGGCTGAGGCAGGAGGATCACTGGACCCCAGGAGTTTGAGGTTGCAGTGAGCTATGATGACACCACTGCACTCTACCTTGGGTGACAGAGTGATACCTGTACTCTCTCTCAAAAAAAAAAAAAAAAAAGCAAGCATTTATAAAGGGGATCACATGAGACAATAGGTTATTTTACACCAGGAAGTATCTACAGTTGTCAATAATGATGTGCTGATGCTGTTCTTTTCCTAAGGGACAAAGCCAGTGTGAGGGTGAATGGGGGTGCTTGGGGAGTGATGGCTGAGGGTGGAGAGGCCGAGCTGGGGGGAGCTGCAGATGGGTCAGTGATTTGCTTTGCGGGTGCCCCGTCTCCTGTGCCGGGAGGGTCCCAAGGGGGCAGTGGGTGCCCACGTTGCCCTGGGGTGGAATGCACCCGTTTACCCTTCCAGAGTGCAGGGCCCCAGGGCCTGTGGCCAGACAGGAACCGTGACATTCTCTTCTCAGCTGATTCTCCCCTAAGGTCCCCAAAAGAGGAGCGGGACGCTGACATGTCTGGAAGGCTGACAGGCTGAACCTCGCAGGGGGTCTTGTCTCTAATCGGCCTGGGTGGCTGTGGGGACGGAAGCTGGGCCAGAGGTGAGGACTCTTCCCCTAAATGGAGCCAGGTGTCCGTGGCCACAGACGGTGGGGGCTGCCACAGGCTGACAGTCTCCCTCACTCAGTCCCGAGCAGAGTAGTCGGCACAGATGACGACCTGGAATAGATACCAATCTGGCTGAGGCTGGCCACCAAAACCTGAAATTGTCCCTGTCAAACAGGAAGGTCCTGCCCCCTCCACTGGGTTATGGGGGAGGAATGAGGAGATGCAATCAGGCTCTCAGAGTCAGAAAGCAAGGATTGTCCTGGCCTTTGTTTTGGTGGGTCATTTGGTTGATTATAATTTATTTAGCATTGGGAATAGGGTCATAAATAAGTCAAAGTCCTTGTTGATATGCTCACAGTTTAGTGGGGGAGAGTTCCAAAAATATATAACATGGTAATGGAGGGGCAACTGCTTTAGCTTGGGCATTTTGGCCTGGGTTTTGGTAAGTGAGTAGGAGTTCACTGAGCAGAGCTTGGAAAATCCCAGGCCTCACTTATTCCCTGATTTAAGATAAGAAACTATCTCAGCACAGAATTCATGAGTGCTGGCGGGTACTCTAAGGTTATAGGAGAGCATGACTCAGGAATGAGGCCATTCTGGGTCTGATGACAAATCTCCCCGACATTGTAATTATGGCTTCTGCCCCACTGATCTGGCCTCCAGCTCTTCCCTGGGGTCAGTGGAAGAAAACTTGATCCAAACCACATTTCTTTCTCTAATTGAGCCATTTAGCACCTTGATAGCTGGGAACACAGAGGTCATGGGAAGAGGGGGGTTGATACTGGAGCCCCTTCCCCCTTCCCCCTCAGCAGGCAGAGAGGCCCTGCCGGTGGGCACCAGGGTCTGCATGCCTCTGTCCCTTGCACCGGCCAGCCTCTCTGCAGTTTCCAGCCCTCTGGGCCTGCCCTGACCACACCCACCCGGCACCCTCGCTCTCCTATCCCACTCTTCCCTGGTCCTGAAACACCCCCATGAGACCTTGACCTGCCATTTTCTGAGCCTCTGACTTGGCTCAATGGTTCAGGGCCCTTGACTTTGACATGGTCACCTCCGATCATTCCCTAGGTCTTGACTTTCCACAACCTGACTGATCTGCAGCCGCTTTAGGGACTCCCAGATAAGGCCTCTTGGACAGCAAAATCCCACAGGCCAGACCCGTTGTGTGCCACAGGCAGTCACTCTTGACTGGGGCAGCCTGTGCTCACCATTGCCAGGACCAAAGGGACCAAGTGCATGGCAGGGCGCACGGGGGCACACCTGGGCTGCCAGTGACCCTGGCCTAGGCTTGCCTGCACAGCAGGGAATACAGAGCTGTGTATGGATTTGGTCTCAGCTGAATTTATTTGCATCTCTCTTTGGAAGAGTTAAAAGCATGTCTGATGATCATGTGACATTGCTTTTCAAGTTCCAGTTTCCCCATGTGGCAGTGAGAGTGGGGTTCCTCACCTGTCCCACCAAAGCGCAGTGAAGACACTGAAGAGTGATTTGTCCACAAACAGCATTTGTTCTGCTATTTAGCAGACCCCATGAAGCACCTGACCACCTGCCAGGTGTCACTCCAGGCTTTGGGGATTCAGCAGGAAGCAAAACAAAGGTCCTGCCCTCAGGGAGCTCTCACTCTGGTGGGCAGCCCAACAGCAAAATCTGTAGAAATGTGTTGTGGGAGGTAGGTGCTGTGAGGATGGGTAAAGCAGGCAGGAGACTGGTGGACCGAATGGGGAGAGTGTTGTTATTCTGTACAGGTGTTCCTGGAAGGCCTGCAGTGAGGTGACATCAGAGGAGAGGCCTGATATATACATGAGGCAGCATACTCTAGGCCAGGCATCCTCAAACTACAGCCCATGGGCCACATGCGGGTGTTTTTGCCCATTTGTTTCTTTACTTCAAAATGAGATATGTGCTGTGTGCATAGGAATTTGTTCATAGTTTTTTTAAACTATAGTCCGGCCCTCCAACGGTCTGAGGGACAATGAACTGTCCCCTTGTTTAAAAAGTTTGAGGACCCCTGCTCTAGGCAGAGGGAACAGCAAGTACAAAGGCCCTGAGGCAGGATTGTGCCGGGCATTTTTGATGAACAGCAAGGAGGCTAGACTGGCTAGAACGGACTGTACAAGAGGGAAGGTGGTGGAATTGGGAGGCCTGACTGGTCCACAGAAGGTTTGGGTCCTGATGCCAGTGCCCACTCCTTGGTCCCCCTGCCATACCCTGCTGGGGAGAAATGGGCTCTCAGTGCCTGCCACAGCAGGCCTGTCCAGAGGGATGGAAGCAGGTGGACACACTGTCGTAATCACACCGCACTGCACTCACCTCTTGAATCTGTTAGCCTCTCCTGCTCCGTGAAGCTAGGTAGTGACTCCTTAAAAGAAGGAAAGATATTTACTCATTTTGGGGCCTTCAGTTCTGCATATGGCCCCAATGCTGTCTGTGTTTCTGGTTCCCCCTCTAGAAGGTCCTGGGTGACACTGAGTCCCAGTGCAGGGACAATGCCTGGAGCAGAGGGGGCCTTCGTTGGTGACTGCCTTGCAGACTGAGTGCACGCCCAGAGGCCTCCAGCTAGAGGCGGTGCACCGTCAGGGGCAGAAGCACATCCCAGGAAGGAGGCAGGAGAGGTTTCTAATTTCAGTTCCTGGGGTTGATTTGGTGGCTGTGTGTTTGTCTTCTACAGAGAAATAATTGCAAACATCTATTTTGTGTCAGCCGCTGTTCTAAGTACTTTACATACATTAATGAATTGAATCTTCATAAAAGCCCTGGGTATGACAGGCACTATTATCATTGCCATTTTACAGGCCAAGGTTCAAAGGTACAGAGAGGTTAAGTGATTTAGCCAAGGTCACACAGCTAATAATTGGCAGAGCCAGGTTGGAAAGCCAAGAGTCCTGCTCTTATCCTTCTACCATAGATTCATACGCCATATCCTCACCCCATAGACTGGTCCCCTAGATCCCTCACTGGGCTATTTGTGCCCTCAGAGTCCCTAGGAAGAGCCAGAAGGTTTTTGAGACTCAACTTTCAGGAAGGTCAATTTTAAGCAAAGATTTCAGGAAAAAAAATTAAGTATATAATTATAAGTAATTTAAGATGATTGACATATGTGTTATAGTGAATAATGCCAAAAGTCAGGTGAATTTTTAAGATAAAAAAAAGGAGAAAATCTTCCAGGAAATGCCACCCTGATGGCAGGTTGCAGACCCCAACCCCCAGGCCCAACCCCTGCCCCCACCCAGGGTAAACTATCATTGTCTGTGATTTCCCTGTGCGCACATGTGCACACACACACACACACACACACACACACACCCTGCACCGTGGCTGTCTGGGGGGAAGTGAGGGGTGGGCTGTGTCAGTGCTGGGCCGCAGGGGGAAGTGCACCGACTACTCCTGTGGGCTGGGGCTGGAGGGCCAGGCAGGGAGGGGGCTGGGCCTTGGCTCTCCCCAGGAGCTTGCACGGGACTCAGTTTCCATTTGTGCCTGTGGGAAGGTGTAACGGAAGGACTGCTCCAGTATTACACTGGGACCCAGCAAACCAGCCGGGAGCAGGAGGAACTTCTTGGCCTCTGCACCGTGAAACACCCAGCCCTGGGCCCTGCATGGACTTTGCAGAGCACGACCTTAGACGCTCCTTCCCGCAGGGTGACAGGCATGCTCCGTGGCTGATGTTTTCTGAGTGTCTGTGTGTGTCAAACCCGGGGACGCATGTCTCACGGCCATGTGCCACAAAATGAGTCCCCCTGGGGAGACAATGCCCAGGGGATCTTGAAGGCAAACGAAGAGGAATGTAAGCTGACACTGCCACCGAGATGGCACGGAGCATGTGCCTCCGTGGAGGCCGGGCCTGGGAACTGATTGCCAGCTTCTTCACTGCCAAAGCAAAAGAGCAGACACAACCGAAGGGAGGACGGGAGTGAGTCAGGCACGGAGGGGGACAGCAGTGGCGGGAGGAAAAGGGCAGGGGTGCGTGGGGCGTGTCTAGAGGGTGGAAGAGCCAGGCAGGGTGAGCAGAGAGGGAGGGGCAGAGCAGGACTGTCTGCCTCCGCGTGAGGGAGGGAGGGGGTGTGAGTGCGAGGATGTGAGGATGTGTCTGAGAGAATGTGTGACGACAGAGGAGGGGGCAGTCGGGGAGCGAGACAGGAGAGGGGTGGTGGCCTCTCCCCGCTTCTCCGCTGGAAAGCCCTGCAGTGTGGAGTGGGGGACATGCAGGAGAGGTGAGATTTCATTACCTTTCCCTTTGTGTGATATTTTCCCGCTAGAAATGTAAGACTGGAGCTATAAATAATCCAGTCACAGCTGCAGCAGCCTGGAGATTTATGGTGCATGCCAATGCCAGCCAGCTTCGGGCTGGGGCGCGTGTGCTTTGCAAAGCCAAGATGAAAGGCTCACTCTCCCCTACTCTCCCCTACTCCCAACCAGCCCCATGCCTCCCTCCTGACCCACTGAGCCCAGGAAGGAGGAAAGCTCCCAAACGCTTAGACCTGTCCCTTGTCCTGAGCAGCCTGAGCCGGTGCAGTCTGGCATAGCAGGTGGCTCTGGCAGGTCGGGGAGACCAGTGGGGCAGGGATGTGGGCAGAAGGTGCCTGGCCTACCCTAGGGGTCCCACTTTGCTCAGCTGCCTCTGACAGGGGCAGGCCTGCTTGTGCCTGGCAGGGCCCACAGGTTGTCCAGACGCAGACGGGCTCCAGCACAATGTGGGCCCACGGGGCAATGGCTCCCTCGTTTCTATTCTCCACTCTGGGCTGGGACCTTGTTCCATGCCTCATCTGCAAAGATCCCAACTGTCCCTGGGGCAAGACTGTGGGACTGGGGGATACCTCCTGGGAGAGGGTGCACATCCTGTTGGCCTGGGGGGGCGGCAGCCAGTACCTCTGGGGCAATGGGCGAGCAGGGAGGAGGCATGGGGTCTCCCAGTTGCCTCCCGGGACCTGTCTGCAGCCCTGCTGAGAGGGCAGCAAAGAGGACAAGAGATAGGCTCGACATAGGCTTATCCTCAGAATCTGCAGGAGCTGGAGGAAGGGGAGATGGGTGGGGGTCTCAGGGAAAGAAGCTCGTTCAAGGCACCCCTGCTGCATGTCTGTCCACGCCTCCCTGCGGGTTTCTGCCCGAGCACCTAGCCGTCTGTGGCCCCACGAGCCCTAGGCTTCCTAGAGCAGGGCACGTGCAAGCTTTGCTCTCACTGCAGGCCTGGTGACTGTGCGTCTTTTTCTGCAGAGCAGTCAGACGCCGTGCCTGGGTGCATGCTCCCCATGGCTGAGCCCGAGGAAAGGATGTGCCAGAGCCAGGGGGTCAGTCCTGCCATCCCTCCTGTTCCCTCCTGCCAGTCGTCAGGCTGTCCTCTGGGGGCTGAGGATCGCCTGGACTCCGTCTGTGCCCTTCCTCCCTCTCTGGAAGCCCCAGGGTCTGGGATGGCCCAGTTACCTTAGGCAGCAGCCTGTCACCTCAGCAGTTTCCACTTTGCTTTTCTGCTAGTTCCCCGAGCAAATATTGGACATCCAGAGACACAGCTGCATCCGGGTGGTCTGGGTGGGGATGGAGGGGCAGCTCAGCCAAGATGAAACAGGCCCTGTGTCTAGGCCTCTGGTAGAGGGAGGCTGCTCGAGGGTTAGGGGGCTCCTTCAGAGGACTCCTCGGGGTGGGGTGTCAGTTGGATGGCTGGGCCTTCCGGAGCAGGTTGCTTGGGGCAGGGTCTTTTCTTGGGGTGGGGCAGTCCTTCAGCTTCCAAAAGCATGCCACATCTGGGAGTGGGTGCTCGAGGTAGGAGTTACCTCCCTGGGGAGGTGGGTGGCTCAGAGGCAGCTCGGCTGAAAATACAAATGGCCTCTGGGCAAGCTGGCAGTTTGGTGAGTGGCAGAGTCATGTGGGTGTGGTCGGCTCTGAGGACCTCCCTGCCCACAGCTCGGATGCATCTGCCCCTGCTGCACTCCTGGAGCACCTGTCGGGACCACCCACCACTACGTGCATCATCTATCTGTCCTGGGTGGCCGCGCCAGCCCAGGTTCTCACTGGAAGGAGTAGAAATGGACTCTGACCCTCTTAAGCAGAGAAAAGATTCCCAGGAAGGAGCTGGGCATGCTCAAAGCAACAATGGGAAGGCTGGAGACCCAGCATGGAAAAGGGGCGGGATCCATGGGGTGCGGGTGCTGGGCAGTGGGCATCACTGGCCTGGTTAGGATGCCTTTGCTGGTACCACCCTCTGCCATCCATGGCTCTCACACAGCTGGGCAGCTGTTGCAGCCCATCCCTCTGCCAGGAACGATTTCTAAGCTACTCCAGATTCAGAGTCCCGAGTGGGAATTTCTGATTGACTGAGTCTGGGTCGTGTGTCACATCCTGGCTGCCAGCGAGTAGAGGGAGGCTGAGTCCCCAGCTCTGATTTCTACAATGAAAGGCGGGGTCTGTTTCCGTAAATACCCGTTAGGAAGGGAAATTCCCACCCAAGCCCCCAAGGAGCTTTCTGGATGGCCTTCGTGGCTGACACGTCCAGCTCCCATCCTCCCATCCCTGTCCCCACTCTGAAGCTGGGAGGCTGAGCGTGGGGGCGTCCGCTGCACTCCCATGGCTGCGGGCTCTGCTGGGGCCTGTCCAGTGGGAGGCACCAATGGAGGGGAACGGAGGGTGGGAGGGCAGAGGCTGGGCATTTGTCCTCCTTGCTCCTTTCCTCTGCAGCTTCAGGTCCCTCCAGTTTCCAGTCACTTGCTCCCTGTGCCACCACGGTCTTCACCATTCCTTGTTGAGTTCCCTTAGCCCTGCCCACTTTTGTAAGTAGTCCCTTCCTGAATGCTTCCTCGGTTGCTCTGTTTGTGGGTAACATCTGTTTCCTGCTGGGACCCCCAGGTGGCACAGGGGTTTGAAGATTGGAGAGCACCAGAGCCCTAACAAGTGGTGGAGCAGAGCAGGCAGCATGGCAGCGTGGCAAGAGCAAGGACTTTGGAGCCAGACCCACGAAGGTCTGATTCTCAGCCCAGCTCCTACTACCTGTGTGAACTTGGCCAAGTTCCTTAACCAAGTTGACCTTGCCTTCTGAGAAATGAAAATGGATCCTTATCTCATGGGCTTGTTGGGAGGACTGAATGAGATATGAATAGATGTATTAGGCACTTGGCTCTTAGGAGACCAGGGATAGCTAAAGCGGTCCACCTGATGTCCAGCTCCAACCCATCAGTCGTGGCCGTAGGGCGCTGTGCTGGGAAAAATTCAGACCACTCATCCAGGCTTGGAGGTGATGGGGGCACTCGTGACTGATCTGGGATGTCTGTCCCAGTGTGGACCCGGAAGTGGCACTCACCAATAATAGCTGTCAGTTTTCACATTTCTTTGCTCCTTGGGAAGGGAAGTAGGATTCCGCTGGGGTCAAAAAGACCAAGATCCCAGTAGATTCCGACTTGGTGCAGCACTGCCCAGGTCCTAAGTCATGGAGCTCCCTTTCCTGGTTCAGCACAGACTTCTTGGCAGTGAGAGTGCCCTGGCCGGCCCTCTCCTTTAATCAGCGAATTGCTTTAGCCCTTTCTGGGTTGTTTAAGGTCTTCTTTCTACCAGGACCTTCTCTTGCTCTTTCAATCCCCAAATGCCCAGCCTGATCCATCCTGACGGTATAGACACACCACATATGTCTCTGTATCTGTGTGTGTGTGTCTCTCTCTCTCTCTCTCTCACACACACACACACACTCTCTCTCTCTCTCCTACATTCACCACCCTCTCCCAGAGTAGGTTACAGAGAATTATATGTAGGAACTTGATTCTCGCCACTCAATATTTCTTGAGCACCTGCTATGTGCCAGACAGCAGTGCACAAGACAGACATGCTTTCTGCCTTGAAGGGGAGACAGACATAACCCAGGGGGTCTGGGCAGTGCAAGTCCAGTGCCAAGGTGGAGGTGAGCACAGAGGGACCTCTGACAGGGGTGGCATGGTGGCATGATCAGAGAAGACTTTGCTGAGCAGGCGGCTTCTGAGCTGTTCCAGGTGGCAGGGGGGAGCATATGCAAAGACCTGAAGGTGTGTGTTTGAAGAGTTGCTGGCCGCCAGCAGGTCACCGTGGCTGCACTTAGAGCTGGAAGGGAGGAGGTGCTGAAGAGGGGCCTGCTGGGAGGTGGTGAGGTTTAGGGAGCAGGTCCTACAGGGCCTTGAAAAGGGTGCAGACTGTCCTGAAGCAGCCCCCACCCTACCCCCAGCCTGTCTTCTGCCTGCTGTGGCAAGTGAGGCCCCCTTCCCAGGAGCCACAGGGCTTCCCAGGCAGCTGGGGGCAATCCCCTACCATGCCTCATGAATCATTAGGACAGGAGTGAGAGCTGACTACGACTAGTGGTGGGTGGGCAGGCAGCTGGCAGAGTAAGGACGAGCTACAGAGTGGGCCCCCCGACCTGATGAATGAAGGCCTTAATGGAGTGCCCCCAGTAATTGGCTGGCCCAACCATCCAGTGCAATGGAGGGTAAAACAGGTGTGCAGGTATTTTCTTTTTCCAATGATTCAGTAGGTTTGCAATTACCTCTTCCTCTCATAAAACCCCCTAAACCCTTTTCCCAGCCACTTCCCCACTTAGACTTCCTTCCCTTTGGAAAATGGGAAATAGTGTGTCTGTGAAGCAGAGTGTGGCTGTGTGTGTGTGTGTGTGTGTGTGTGTGTGACATGTATATGTGAGGGAAGTGTATAAATGGGAGAGTGTGTACTTGTGTGTGCATGAAAATACTTCTGCATGGGAGCAAATGTGTGTGGGATTTGCACACCTCTGTGTGGTGAAGTGCACATGCTTGTGTGTGCACAGGTGTGCAGGAGAGCGTGGGTGTGTGTTTGCAGTGAGTGTGTTTGCATGTGCCTCTGCGACCCCAGCCACCATGCCTGTCTTCCCAGGAGAGAAGTGGTTGGGCTGGGATACTTGTATTAACCAAAGCAATAAAACACCCCACTGGTCTGGCTGCCTCCTCTCTCACGTCTTTGTAATACATTCTTCACCCAGCAGCCAGTGCGAGCTTTTAAAAATGCAAATCAGATTATGTCACTCTTAGGCTGAAAACCCTCCAGTGGCTTCCCAGTGCATTTGGAATAAATCACACTTCTGACTACAGGATGTGCCCCCACTCCATCCCTTGAAACTTTGCATCCTCATCTCGCACTCCTTGGGCACGCCCTGCCTCAGCCACACAGCCAGACCTGTACCTGCCGTTCTGTCTCTTAGACCTTTTTGCTGTTGGGTGTTGTCCTAGCCCCAGGTTTCAGCCCAGCATGATGGCATTAGCAGTGGGGCCTTCCCTGATCTTCCAATTTAGTTTGACACCCCCAGTCCCTCTCCATGCCATTACTCTGACTTAAGTCCCTCTGCAGCTCCAGGTCCCTTGGGTCTGAAGAGGCACTGAGACAGAGTTGGGAGTGCCCAATGTCAAGGGGAGCAGCCCCTGTGAAAGGAACAGGGAGAATGCGGATTGGGTGGGGTGGGGTGAGCCATCAGACTGGGATGCAGACCTGACAAGCTCTCTGCCAGCCCATGGGGTGCCAGTAGGAGAGACTGACCTTTAGAGAAGTCCTGAACTGGGGAGAAGTGGCTAGACTCTGTACAACAGTCTGACTTGGTCATGGACAGGAAGCATCAACTCAAAAGCCAAGGTGGCTCAAGGGAATGAAAAGGCAACCCACTGACCGGGAGGAAATATTTGCAAAGGACAAGTCTGACAAAGGACTGTTATGCAAAATATACAAAGAACTCTTAAAACTCAATAGTAAGGCTGGGTGCAGTGGCTCACACCTGTAATCCTAGCACTTTGTGAGGCCGAGGCGGGAGGATTGCTTGAGCTCAGGAGCTCGAGACCAGCCTGAGTAAAAGCGAGACCCCATCTCTACTATAAATAGAAAGAAATTAGCCAAACAACTGAAAAAAATAGAAATAATTAGCCGGGCATGGTGGCACATACCTGTAGTCGGGAGTCTGAAGCAGGAAGATCACTTGAGCCCAGGAGTTTGAGTTTGCTGTGAGCTAGGCTGACGCCACAGCACTCTAGCCCAGGCAACACAGTGAGACTCTGTCTCAAAAAAAAAAAAAAATCAATAGTAAGAAAACAACCAGATTAAAAAATGAGAAAAAAGACCTAAACAGACGCTGTATCAAAGGAGACATACAGATAGTATGTGCATGAAAAATGTTCAATATCATATGTCTTTAGAGAATTGCAAATTAAACAATGTTGAGATACCACTGCACATCCATTAGAACGGCCAGAATCCAGAACACCGACAACACCAAATGCTGACGAGGTTGTGGAACAACAGGAACCCTTGTTCGTTGCTGGTGGGGATGCAGAACGGAACAGCGACTTTGAAGACAGTTGAGCAATTTCTTACAAAACTAAACATACTCTTACCATTCAATCCAGCAGTCACTCTTCTTGGTATTTGCCCAAATAAATTGAAAATTTAAGTCCACATAAAACCTGCGTACAATTATTTATAGCAGCTTTATTCATGACGGACAAAATTCGGAGGCAACCAGGATGGCCTTCAGTGGATGAATGGATGCATACACTGTGGTACATCCAGAAAATGGAATATTATTTAGTGCAAAAAAAAAAAAAAATGAGCCATCAAGTTATGGGAAAACATGGAGGAAACTTAAATGCATATTACTAAGTGAAAGAAGCCAATCTGAAAAGGCTACTGTGTGATTCCAACTGTATGACATTCTGGGAAAGGCAGTAAAAGATCAGGGCGTGGGGAAAGGAAGATGTATCGGCAGAGGATTTTCAGGGCAGTGAAACTAGTCTGTAGGATGCTCAGACGGTGGGAACATGTCATTATGCATTTGTCAAAACCCATAGAATGTGCAACGCCAAGAGTGAACCCTAATGTAAACTCCAGACTCTGGGTGACAGTGATGTGTCAGTGTAGGTTCATGAGCTATAACAAATGTACCACTGTGGTCTGGGTTGACAACCGCAGAGGCTATGCTCTGTGGGCATGGGGTATATGGGAAATCTCTGTACTTTCTGCTCAATTTTGCTAAACTGCTCTAAAAAATAAAAGTCCACTTAGAAAAAAAGAGAAAGGAACAAAGAAAAGAAAGCTTCAGACATCCTCCCTGGGCTCCCTTCCCCTCTCTCCCCATGCATGCCATTCCTTCTGTTGCCCAGGTGTTCTGGCTTCCCCACCAGGGGCTGTGTTTGCCAGCGTGTCTGTCTGCCTGTCCTTTCTTCTGTGGTCTGGCTAGACCCTTTGCTAAAGATTTCCCAGCTTAACGGCTGGCCTGGCTGGAAGCTTCTGAATCTCTGTGGTTCCTCTGCCCACCTTGCAGCCCCCAACTCCAGCTTCCTGCCAGCCCAGTGATCTTCTGAAAGAATGTCATAAACAAATGACAGCTACTGGAAGCCCTGTCCTGGTCTAAATATGTACCTTGGCACCCAACTGAGGAGAAGGAAATTCAAGATTGGAGAGAGAAGAAGAAAATCCTGAATAACTCATTAGCACCACCTCCAACCAGGCTTAATCTGGCCTCCTTTGGTGTCAGACTGCAGCAAGAGGAAAACACCTTCCCTCCCAGCCTCCAGGGACGAAGCTGTCATGCAGAAGAGACAGAGGGGAGCCCACTGACTGTGTGCCCCTTCCATTTCCCAGGCCCTGATTAAGCCTTTTAGAGGCACTAGGCTCCGAAAAGATTATGCCCTCTCCACCCCTGTGAGTGGTACAAAATAAAATCAATACTAAGCCCCGAAATCAGTGTGAGGAAGCCCTTCAACATTTTGTATTTTCTCATGATGCCTGCTTTGAAGTTTTTTATTTTTTGAAATATCAAATATGAAATTCTTCAAGGATCCTCTCCTCCTTTGCTGGTTCCCTTAGTGTGGGTTTGGTCTGCATGCTGCTCTTGTCTGTAATCAGCTGTTACCCCCAGCGGGTCTTCCTGCCCTTGCCAGGCCTATGCTGGCACCGTAAGGGTGGCTCCGGGGCAAAATCAGGGCTGGCATGTGGTGGGGAGGGTCGCAGAGTCAGGTTCTCTCTCGCCAAGGTTAGTGGGCTGGCTTCATAGTCCAGGGCATGAGATGAGCCAGGAGCAGAGGGGCAGAGTCCTGGGTGGGCATTGGGAAGGGGCTTTCTCCTTGGCTAGGGTTGCCCAGCTTGGAAAATCAAACTGGAATCAAATCAAGAGACAGCTACTGGGGTCCATGTTGTAGGCAAAAAAGTAGTTGGGCTGGACTGGGAGGCCAGCACTAGAGTCCTGTCATCTGGTGGCCTTGTGTTCTCCTGACCTGGGGGTGGCTCAGATGGTGGAACAGAACGCTCAGGCACCCACTTCGGTGCTGCCCATCCACTCGGGTACATTGCCTCCTGTAAACAGCAGAGGGTCACCCCCACATTGCAAATGAACAAACAAGCCAAGGTCCATGTCTAGTGATTAAAGAGCCAGATTTGTCCACTGGGTCAGAATAGAGATTTTGCTCACAGTGCACCCTCAGGTGTGAGCCCAGAGCCTGGGGCTCCTCATTCATGAGGTTTTTTCCTTCGAGACAGAGTCTCACTCTGTTGCCCAGGCTAGAGTACAGTGGTGACCTCATAGCTCACCTCAAACTCTTGGGCTCAAGTGACCCTCCTGCCTCAGCTTCCAGAGTAGCTGAGACTATAGGCACATGCCACATGCCTGGCTAATTTTTCCATTTTTTGCAGAGATGGGGTCTTGCTATGTTTCACTATGTTGCTTAGGCTGGTCTTAAACTCCTGGCTTCAAGTTATCCTCCCACCTTGGCCTCCTAAATTGCTGGGATTTTAGGCATGAGTAACTGCACCCAGCCCATATTCGTGAGTTTCATCATCAATTGGCACCTGCTGTCATTAGAGAGGTGACAAGCCTACAGGCATTTATTCCATTGCTGCTTATTTGGCCCTACTATGTGCTGGACATTCACAAATATGTCATCTCATCCATGTGGTATCCCTGCAAGGTGGATATTTTTGGCGACATTTTATAGATTAACTCAGCAAAGGACTTACTTGCCCAAGGTAGAGAATTCTGGCCTCCTAGAAGGGAAGCTCCATGGGTGCAGAGCCTGTCTGGCTCCCAGCTATAGCCCCGGGTCACAGTACTTAGCACAGTGACTGATGTGTTGTCAGCAAGCAATAAATATCCGGTGAACAAATGAATCAATCAATGAGCGATTTCTTGACTTCTGTCCCCAAGTCTCTGCTCTTTTCTGCTTTTCCCCAAGTCCAGGAAGTTGCAGCTGGAAGCAGGAGCCCTGGGCCTTCCTGGTGGCAAAGGCTCCCTGGGCAGTGCTGGTGAGAGGCCATAGCAGTGCCATGGCCTCCTAGCCTCTGTCCGCTCAGGGAACCCCCCTGCCCTTGCCCTTGCCTGGCACAGCCACTCCTGGTGGCCACGTGCGATTGCAGAAGACGCTGGGAGGGTTTCACCGCAGAATAAACATATGGGCTGTATATCCAGTGATACATCCAATGATTCAGAAGATCCTGCTGTGCCAATCTCCCTCTCCTCCAAACCCTGCTGTTGCCATAGCAACCATTCCACCAAACCAGAGCTAGCTGAGGGCATCCCAATTAACCTCTTCCTGGCACAGCAGGACCCTCAGTACACCCATCCACGTGGCCTGGGTGCCCATAATACTGATGCCCAGACTGAAAGATGTTGGCACAGGGATCATCTGTGCCAACAGAAGCAGGTGGCACTGTGTGCAAAAGCGGGTAGACTGCAGGGGTCAGACGAGCTGGGTCGGATCGTTGGGTCAGCTGCATGAACTTGGGCATTCCAGCAAATCTTCAAGCTTCAGTTTGCTCTCCTGCAATATGGACAACAGTGTGTCCCCTCACAGGGTCACAGGGCTGCTCTAATGGTCGGTCAGATGAAGGATGCATGCTAATGCCTAGCAGATACTTGTCACACAGCTAATGCTTGTCCTTTGGGTTGGATTCATGTTCTCA